AGTGTGTGTGTGTGTGTGTGTGTGTGCCTGCGTGTGTATGTGTGTGTGTGTGTGTTATAATATGCACACAGGCAGACACACTTGTATTTTTCTTACCGTCCCAACAAAAGGCATCACATCTCTCTGAAAACATTGTTTGTGGCATGATGTACAGTCTGAAGAGAGACTCGGCTTAATAGCGTTCCGCTTTACGACAGGCACGGAATGAGTTATTCTCCGCACGCTCCTTCACAAATGAAATACACCCCATGTTTCTGACATGTTTATCATTTACGCTCGTACGCCTCGCTTGTTTTTTTTTACTTTGTTTAAGTGAGGCTTTTACTTACAGCGTTTACAACACAATTAGTTCATAAGTGCGCAAGATTTGAGGTGTTACAAGAGAGTAACAAACACAAAAGGAGGTAAGAAAGATAAGGACGATAGCTGTTTTGAAGAAGTCCACCGCACTAGAGCACTCGCCTACTATCCACTCGTGCATCTCAATTGTTTCTCTTGAACTCATTCCTTGTTGTTTTCCTCTCTTCTTTGCAGAAGATGGGCTCACCACAAGGCTACGCCTGAATCAGGAAATGGCGACGAAGGCGGCAGCAGCAGGAGAATCAAACCTCAGACCTCGGATGTCGAGAAGACTTAAAGTCCTCTACGTGTTGATAGCATTCCAGTGCGGCTTCCTTTACCTGTGCTTTGCCAGTCTTCAGAGCGCAGTGTTTGTGCGCTACGGAGGCGCCCAGCACAACCCAAACACCAGTCTCAACTTTGTGCACAATTCTTCCACCAGCGTTCGCCGGATTGTAAAGAGAGGTCATGGTGCTCGAAGTGGACGTATCCATCATTCTAATTTTTCTTCAGCTACCTCTCAGAAATTCAACACGAGCCGCCATTTTTCGCGTCGTATGAATGTCCGGGAGTACAACTTGTTGAAGGCAGCGTTAGAAGTATTCGACCGCGTTTGCACAAATGCGAGCATAGAATACTTCTTATACGGAGGCTCGTTGCTGGGGTCATTTCGTCACCACGACGTCGTTCCCTGGGACGATGACGCGGACGTGATCGTCCCGCTCAGAAACAGACGTCTCCTGAAACAGGAGTTAGAAAAAGAAAACCCTCTTTACGTCATCAATCTCTTTCAAAGAACTACCTGGAAGTTTTTCTCCCGTCGCGCCAAGCAGATTCCAGGCTGGAGCTGGAAGTGGCCATTTCTGGACATCTTCTTTTACGACGAGAACGCCACACACATCTGGGACGTGCACGCGAAGTACGCCCGAGATTTCGTGTACCCAAAGCCGTTAGTGTTTCCTCTAACTCGAAGACCGTTTATGACGCTCTCGATCCCTGGCCCTCATGACGTAGCAGGGGTGCTGCGGAGGAACTATGACGTCAGCACGTGCGTGACGCACGCGTGGATACATGAGCGGGAGACGGACGCGAGTGATATTGCAGCCGTGCCTTGCAGTGAGCTGAGACATCTATACCCTTTTGTGGACCCTGTGTCCTTACCTTCAGGGGGGTGTAATGAAACGTTGACTTACAAGGGAGAAGTGTTGGGATTTTTCATTGATAAAAATGCTCAGTATTGCCATTGATGTAATTGTGCTTTTTTAGTTTCTAATTTCTGCGCGCATGTGTGACTGGTACGGCTTAATCTTTCCATCGTGAGGATACACCGCCTTGAAGGTTTGCTGCCTGTAAAATCTGTGCAATGTTCTCTCACGCATCTTTCTTTTTCCAATGCCGTCATTCAAGTAACAGTTGGCATGATGTCTCAGCTATGATAATTATTATGCTGTGGAATAATCTGTTTTTGCTTAATAATATGTTCATGTGAGTTTTATCTATGTGTGTGTGCATGTGTGCGTGTGTGCGTGTGTGTGTGTGTGTGTGTGTGTGTGTGTGTGTGTGTGTGTGTGTGTGCGTTTGTGTGTTAGA